TCTCCATAAGGAATAATGGCAAACTGCTAACTGGAGTTTTGCCTTTCTTTAACAAAGTGTTTTCCTCATGCCTAAAGTTTAAACTAACTGCTGTCATGTAGACCAGTTCAAATGAGCTGTGATCACTGCAGCTCCTCCAGAGGTAACCTGATCCTCTTGGCTGGTTCTCTTTTTAATGCACATCTTTCACAGTTTACATGGATGTAGACTTTCACGCTTGATACTTACTTTCCCTTTGGGGTCAGTCAATTAGTTTGCATTAAATTCTAGATAAAGGATTAGAAAAAGCTCCATCGGATGTTTAACCCTGAAAAAAACTCTTCCACTGCATTTTTTTTTTTTTCATTTTGTGAAACAAGAGTGTCTAACCAATGAGAGAGCTGGTTACAGCTGAGGAGCAACTGTGATTGGTTTAACTGATTTCCTGTGCGCTCAGGGAACAGAAGGGTTACAGAAAAGATCAAAAGATTAAGTAAAAAGAAAATGCAACTGCAAAAAGTTGTATTTTGCCTTTTTAAAAGTGTTATTTGGAAAAGTACTCATAATCCATTTATTAATTGTGGATTTAAATGTCCATTTAGCGATAGGATTTGAAAATACCTTTATAAATTGCAGTATTTAGTGATGAATTAATAAATACATTTCCCCAATTCCTCTTTAATACTTTTCTTTATTTATTAGAAAACGCTTTTCAAATTGGATGATTTAACCGTTAATGTCACGTTTTTCTTTTTCAGTAACTCCCCTGGTCCTCCATTAGGTGGACTATTTACTGATTATGTAAGGTTTTGAATGTTCACATGATGTTGTTTATTGAATTGCTTTTACTCCTTCATGCTGTGGAAACTGTGACGTTCTAAATTAAATTGCAAAATGACAGTGAAGATATCTCTGGATTTTGAATTACATTCAATTTAAGTTAGCAGAATAAATATCAATGGCTGAAATCTGCTTTATATTTGTATGATGGTTTATCTATCCCTGTGTCTGTGACATAGCAAAATGTGGAAAAGAACACGCCTTTGATGCTGTAAATATATTACCCTTTAGAATGATAAATCACAGCAATACAGAAGTCACTTCTTCCAGTCAATATTGATTTAAACTCCACCATCTATGACTCAAAGTAGGCTTGTTACTCTCTAGTCAACTTAACAACCTTTATCTCACTACTCTAGTGCTACTAAAAAGAAAAATAATAGGTATTCTCTGACCATCAGTACATTTCTATAAAAGAATATGTAGAAAAAAAGAAAATAGATTTACATCTCAAAAAGAACCCTGCCATGAGTGAGAAATTAAATTATTGAAAACTTGTAAATAGAAAACCAAATTTTATTAAGTGTCAAAGCCTCAATCTGTTGCCCATACGCCACAACAGGCTGAGGTTAGGAGGGTTAAGGTGGACTAAAATATGTCGTTCTGAGTTAAGGGCTATTCATCACTATTTTATAAAAATACTCAACTGTTAAATTAGATCAATTGTTAAGCTGAGAGGCCAAAGCTGCAGTAAAACCAGACTGTTGTGTTTCTAAAACAAGCAGGAAGATGAGGTGAAAAACATGAGCCTTAGCACAACTTTTACACTATCTCAAAATACAGTTTACCCTGTTTTTGTATTATTTCACTTTACCTCCTTATATGCATAGACAAGTTCTGTTTAATCAAAGACTAAATTATGATTTTTAAGACATTAACTACACTTAAGTGTACCAATTCTTCATCCAACAAGGCCCTGTGATAAAGTTGCTTGAAAGTCTAAACCCCAATTTAAAACTAGAAGTAAACTCAGTATAGAAATAATCAAAACCTCCAGAGCCAAATAAAATAACTTGAACAAAATAAATGTGGAATGTGTTACTACAGAATAACTACAGATAAGCAGTTTAAAAACACAAAATGGAGGAAATATAAATTAAAGTACTGGATAAAACATAAAATCCAGGCACTCTCCTAAACTGCTGATTCAGCTTTTTGTTGTGTAGTCAAACTTTAAGGCAAACGTTTGAATTTTTCAACAAGTTTTTTTTTTTTTTTTTTTTTTTTTTATTTGTCTTCGACGTAATGCAGAAACCTTGGTTGACTTGTAAGGAGTAACTCAGCAGCATATATAGAAGTTAGAATGGAAAACTCTGAACAATACAAAACGTCAGGCTATATCAGCTGTAATACAAGACTGGTTATTAAGNAATCCAGGCACTCTCCTAAACTGCTGATTCAGCTTTTTGTTGTGTAGTCAAACTTTAAGGCAAACGTTTGAATTTTTCAACAAGTTTTTTTTTTTGTTTTTTTTTTTTTTTTTTTTTTTTACTTTTGGGCTGTTCAATCACAGCAGGGATAATCCGTAACTCAGCAGCATATATAGAAGTTAGAATGGAAAACTCTGAACAATACAAAACGTCAGGCTATATCAGCTGTAATACAAGACTGGTTATTAAGTTCAGAGAGGAGGCTAAATCAAAACAGCTTCTAACAGCTGCCAAAGTGAGTTGAAATCTCATGTGTAAAATCTAAAATAGGCAAATTTCTTCAGTCCTGTCTTAGTGATTTAACCCAGTAGGAGCTTCGTATTGATCATGCTCAGAAAGCCATAGCTAAACAAATTATAGATATTATAAGAATTACATAGGGATTTAGGGATTAGGTCGGACGTTCAGACACAGCCATGAGGTATTTGCTAAATGAACAAAAAAAAAGTTGGTGGCTTTAAATAAAATAGCCAGGAAATGTTTTATTTTGGCAAACGCCTCATTCGGAAGGCCTATGTTGGAGAGGACAGTCTGGCTGGTTGAACCTTGGCTTAAGGAGGAGCAGTGTGTTTTTCATCCTGGCCGGGAAACATAGGACCAACTTTATAATCTCTGCAGGGTTCATAAAAATTTGCCCAACATGGTCTACATGGGCATGGCTGCCCACTGTCATCGCTCCTGTTCATAACCTTTATGGACAGGATTGTGCAGCCAAAGTCCAGAGGGGGTCTGGTTTACCGACCAGCAGATTTTTTTCTTACATTCTGCAGATTATGTAGTTCTGCTGGCAGGCTCGGACTGGTAATCTGTGATTCCAGGCATTTGCCCGGCGGGCCGGTCCAAATTTCAGCGTAGGAGGGCCGGCATTACTTAAATCATACCGGCCACACTTACTCTCCAGCCGAAGCTCCTACCTGTCACAGTAACTTGCATGCAGTATATATAGGCCTTTCTTGTCATGCACATCCTTGTGAGGGTTGGCATATGGTGCAATTTTCTATATCTTCAAACTGTAAAATCCTTGCAACAAACTAAATTAGAAAAAAAACTAAAATGCTTTCTTTAAACCAAACTACAATGTTCCTCTTATATTTGGCAAATTTATGTTTAAATATTTTGCAAAAATATGTCACGGTGCATGATGGGGTTTTGCATCTAAAGGCCAACGTTTCCGGTCCTACGTGTATTGTTGCCAGGTTGGGATGTTTCCCAATCTGGCAGTTAAGGATGGCCGTCTATGGGTAAAAAGATTTATGGTCTAAGAGATCCATAGACTTTGGTTCAAATTGGCAGAGATTTCGTATATCCAGGCGGTTTATGAACGGGAGGCAGTGACATCTGGCAATCCTGCTGATGTGGTAAATGTGTATACGTAATGTGTTTCACATTTGAGACGCACGCATTTGACTGGGCCGGTGTGCACGGAAAAATGCCAGGGCCGAAAATCCTTCCCAGTCCGAGCCTGTCTGCTGGTACCTTCCTGACAAGATCTACAGAACTGGGGTGGTTTGCAGCACAGTGGGAACCACCCGGGATGAGAATCAGCTCCTCCAAGTCAGAGGCCATGGTTCTCGATCGGAAAAAGGTGGCTTGTCCTCTTCAGGTTTGAGCGTTTAATGACCCCAGGTGGTGGTGAGTCCAGTTCTTGTGTCAACATTTATAAGGAAGGAAATGTTACCTTTTAGGCTCAAAAGGGGGGGAAGTTACTATCTGAACCAGCTGGGGTTTTGGGTACAAAAGGGTTATTCTAAGGCCGAGTTGGAGAATAATGTATGCAAACCTCCCAGATTTTGTAGCTAAATTTGATCTGTAAAATACACAAAGGATGTTTGTGAAGAAGAGATGAAAAACCACACATTCCTGCTTCAATTGAAGGAATTCAAGTATCTTGGGGTCCTATTCACTAGTGAGGGGAGTATGGATCAGTGTGGCTGCTGCTGCCATGATACAGGTTTATGAATTAGTAGATTCAGCTTTTTTTTAAATATGACCAATAGATAACAGAATAGATCCATCTACATAATAAAGGTGATAAACTGATAGCTGTGCTTCAGTGTATTTAGTGATTCATACTAAAATTCAACATACTATCTTCCTAGAACCATTAAACCTGATAGCAGAAGAACGAGTCAGTTATTTAGAAGCTTTGTTAGAAATTACTCAAGATGTAAAACACTATCATTCAAGCCCTAACATAAACCAATAATAAACACATAAAGATGGAGTTTTATAATGTAAATAAAATGGCAGGAAGTCTCATTTCTGATATATAACATGAACCTCAGGCGCAACTTACATGAAAACTAATATTTTATGTATGAAGTTAGAAATGAAAGTTAGTCTTGTGACGTTTTAAATTGAAACATACTTTGTAGTGAGTTATTGTAGGCGGAGCAGGTAGTTAACTGCCAACAACACACACTGCCTATACCCTTAACCCCGATTTAAAACACCAACGAGGACTAAGGGAGCAATTAAAATATAAATCTAATCAGAAAAGACGGTGTTTAACACTGTTAAAACTACACAAATCCTATCTATAATCCATCGTGATCTAACGGTAACATGGCAGCTAATTCCATCGAGCTAGTCTGTTAGCCTCACTCCAGTAGCAGCTAACCCGAACTAAACAAATAAGCTGGGGATTTGGCCACAGAATCAAATAGGTACGATTAATAGTCTTCAACGTTTGATTGAACGCCATAACCCATAATGTAATTTGCTTGGGGGCTCATGTGTAGAAAAACTCACCGTTTTTGGAGGATCCAATTAGAACGTTTGCCGACCGGGGTTTTCTGTTGTTGTTAGCTAGTGATTCTACAACTGGCAGCCCTCCATAGTAGCGTAGAAAAATAGCGCATCCTGCTGACTGGGAGAAAAAATACACCCCAGTTTCACATGAGAATGCAGTCTTCTTCTGTGATGTTTAATGGCGGTTGGCAAACAGTTTAAAAGCGCACTACTGCCACCTACTGGAATGGATTGTGGAACAAAATGACAGTATACTAACAAATAAATAATTCCACATTTCTTCCCGGTGTTATACCGAGAAATGCATGCCTGCCGAGAATTGCGTCCCTTCTCGCGGGAGCGCGCATCACTCTAAACTCTCGCAAAACTCTCGAGAAAACTGACTGAAGAAGAGGAAACTTTTAAAGATATTCTTTACATTATCACGTTTCTTAACCATGTAAGCCCTAAAACGGTGGATTTTATTTCGCAGATTATTTCAATAAATACGGTTTGACACCTTTATTGAGACATACTAGTCGAACGTTTTTCAGTGTGTCTCTGATGAAAATGTTCTCTGCAGCAAGTTGAAAATTCCCCGATATTTCTTTTAACACTATAATAGCTTAAAGTATGACAAATCAGAGGAACATTATCACCCTTAACTGCATTTTAATTGTTCCTGTGGTACACAGACAATGGATCTCGGCGGAATCTTTGCCTTCTTTAAAAGTT